TGCTAATTCTTGTCACCTCAATGGGAATATGCAGCAATATTAGCTTCTATAGGGAGCAAATGGACCTCCGAAATCCAAAAATACAATCAGATTTCAAAAATTTAAATTTTGATTTTTTCGAATTTCTGCCGCCGACTGTGACCTTGCCGACTTCCGGCGCTCCCAACGCGCCATTTTTAGAGCTAGGGAAACGAAATACATACCAAACGATAGAGAATTGATCAAGGAACACGATAGTGAAGATTTCAAGTCGATATCTCCCACCGTTTTGCCGCAATCGCCGCGGAAAGTTGAAAAAAGTCTATTTTTCCGAAAATTTGACCTTTGACCGGTCAAAAGTAGGTCAAATGTTGACCTAGGACCAAAAATATACCACCAATCGCGAGATCTCGGCGAGAGCAATCCGTTGGTCTTTTCCGCTAAGCTCTACGACGCTCCGTTTTCAAACGCCAAGGGGGGGGTCGCACCAACCTCCCCCCTGCATGGGCGAAGGTGGCAGATCGCCGTTTACGGGCGAGGGTTAACATATTGTTTACTGGTTAACCCTACCGAAGCTTTAACAATGCAGTTATTGAAATGAACTGTTCAACAGTTGTTCAGCGCAATAAATTAAATTATATGAAACAACTTAGGAAATTAACCCTATTAGTGGCAGGGGGGGTTGTTTTTATCCACCCCTCAGGTTTTTCGGGAATATCTCCGAAATCGCTGAAGCTACGATGCTGAAATTTTCTGACTTTTCCTAAAACTAAATTGGGCACATTCCCTGAAAATTTCAAGTTCATAACTTTACCAGGGGCGGCTCCAGAGCACTGGGAATTGGGGGGTCCTATTCATGAAGCGAGTCATTTGGGCGAAGATCACGGTGCTGCACCAGTTTTACGAACAGTGAATGAAAGGTATGTGATAACATATACAAAGTTATTGTGCATCCTCTTTTGACACGTTTTTGCTATAATAGGCGGATCCAGGCGTCCAAAAAGGGGGGTTATTTTTTACCTCCCAACATAGGTGCCCTGACACCGCCTATGCATGACCAATACAATTTTAGTCGTTCTCTCATAAGAAAATTGTAACATAACAAGACCATTGCCACCCTTTTTAGAAACAGTACCAACAAAAACCTTATTTACTATACTTTTTGTGTACCCCCAATCTCAATGATCTGTATCCGCCTATGATTTTTGAAAATGCATATTTTTAGGATCCATGTGAATTCCTGGTTCATTCTCTATCGATCGGCAAAAGTTGCGTTAAGATTGGTTCAGAAACCTGGCCGTGATAAACAGTCTAAAATGTATCTGCAATTTGCCCTTTTTTACCCCCCTCTACCCCCCTATTGACATTTTTTAATTTTATTTTTTTTTTAGAAATGTAGATCTCGTTGAGCCAAATCGAATGCCGTTTGAATTTTTAAAATCGGCCCGTTAGATCTCGAGATATCAAGGGGGGGTCGTAAACAGCCCCCCCCCCTGCCACTAATATGGGGTAGCCAGGAGCCTGCCACTAATAGGGTTAAAAGTTATGAAGGTTGAAATATGCAACCGTTAAGATAATGATATAAATAGTGATTAGTGACGTTGTCGGCGATATGCCGATCATGACAACATTAATTGCTACGTCCTAAACAAACTGCCACGTCTTGCAGTCTAGGGTGAAACTGCAATGAATGATGTGTGAGCTACATGGTCCGGCATACGTTTTATCCTCTAAAAAAATGTTCTCTCTAAGCTGCTACATAGGGGACAGCGATTCTCTTTAGCGTTCAGTTTATTTCCCACGAACAGGGATTTACATACGTGCGCAAATTTGCATGCTGGTAACTAGGTTGCGCAGTAAATACGGCTGGATTTTTTATCATGCCCGTTTGAGCTGTAACGACAAGGCGCCGAGGCTGGCCGCCGGCTTCTGTTTGTTCAGGTCCTGCTGGACGATAGCCTGAAGTTCGTCGATCAGGATGAGGTCCGAATGGCAGGCGGCTAGCATCTCTTTCCTTCAGAAGTCTGACACGTTCAATTCGCACCACCGCTAGGCCTTGGCAGAGCGATGAGCTGGCGCGCCGTCCTGATTGAAAATGCATGTCAACATGTCATTGACCATGCTTTGGCTTAGTAATGGGCCGAAGGTAGGTAATGAGCCTCGGAGAGCTCTTCCAATAGCGTCTCACGGTCCTGTTTGGAGATGTGATAGCGCTTCAGCGCGAGCCGCTTGGCCAATTTTGTTGCTAACTACTGGCCGCTCTTCCCGGGCGCCTTTTTCAATGCAATTTATGTAACGTTTGAAATGGTAGGCGCACGCCGGCAAACTGGAACGATCAGCAACACTGCCAGCAGCCGTATGCGTATCCCACCAACACCGGGCTGTGCAGACAGTTCGCCCATAAGACTTGTAAGCAAAAACAACAGGCAGATGTCCCAACCAAGCAGCTATGACACCTTGTGTTATTTCGGCCTGGAGCATGCCGACTGTCTGGTTCAGCTCCCTTGATAAAAATTTCAGACCTTCATGTAGCGACGCAGCCGTTCAGGTGGACAATATCTGTGAAACTGGCCGTAGCTCGGTGATCCGTGACCCGAGGTCCGTTCGTCACCTCATGTTCTGCGGCCAAGGACCGTGCAATGCAGGAGTGCAGCCTGAATCGTCATCCCTCAGGTGTAGACACGATTAGGAACCGGAAAGTGTTGTCATAGGTAGTGGACATAACTTTTGCCGAACCCTGTAGTGTCGTCCTCATAGTAGTGTCTTTCATTGTCAGCGAGCGAGACGCTACATGGAGTTAAAATGGCGAGCGGCCCTCCCGCCGGAATGGTGAGCGTCCTTCTCTGTCAAACGCGGCGCTAGTTTCCGCCTAAGCTCCGCTGGCCCGCTCAACTGCTATGTCATGCGGCACAGTCTACAAGTACAGGTGACCGGTCGCGAGATCGGAGCTCCGTAGCACCGGGCGAGTGTGGCGGAGGTGGGGGTATTCACCGCATCAAACCTACAGGTCGTCTGGACCCTTATCTTGAGACCAATAGTACAATATAGCGGCACCTAGTAGAATGGCGGTTTATTTGTAGAAATTGATTTGAATGGCCGTTACAGTAAAACTTTTTGGATCTAGCCCTGATTTTGGGAGACTTTGTAGTTGAAAGATTGTCTTTGTTTTCTTCTTTTAACAGTTTCAGTTGCACTGAATGAATATCAACTGGTTGTAGATTCTAGGGCAGTCAGTGGTTACGCAGGGTTGTTAGTAGGATTCCCCCTGTCGTATCATGCATGATGGTTGACTAGTAGAGGTGTTTGTAGCTAGACACACCTGTATTTGTCACTTTGACCTTAATTTTTGGCCTCAGCACCTGGACGTCTGACCTTGACGTGTTAACACTGGTTTTGGGTCACAATCTTTTATGCTTCATTTTTGTTTTGTTATTGCAGTATTTAAACTATTGTTTGCACTTCTTACATTTATTTAACCCTCGCCGGACGAGGGGGGGGGGGCGGGTGCCGCCCCCCCATAGGGTTTTTTCGCGATAGCTCCGAACATGCTGGCGACAGAGAGCTGAAACTTGGCATACCTGACCTTTGATTCAAGCCGGATCTTTTGACACCAACCGCATTTTTGGGTCAGGTCAGGTCACTGACCTATGACGTCATAAGTGAACCTCTGCACGGTCTTCAGATGTCGCAACTTCGCAACGCCCTCACTGCCAGAGGAGATGTCACAGGGAAATGAAACTTGCAGGATCTAGTATCCATTATGAGTCTCACATTTTGTATATCTCGGATTTTTCCTAAAGGTCATATGAGGTCAGGTCATTTTCGTGACCTCACCATTATAAGTCAATGGGGAAAAATGAAAACTGCTATTCTGGCGCCGGGAACGATCTCCAACTATCTCAAGCACACAGAATCGTGATTTGATGCACTCCTTGCAAGGTTAGATGCGTTACTTTTGCAATGTTGACCTTGCGTGACGTCATTTATGACGTCATCAAGGTCATATTAGTTTTTCGTCAATAACTCTTGATCAAATTGAGCTAGCGAGTCGGGAAAGCCACCAATGGACTCCGGAAGACCTGCCGAATCGAATGATATGCGACATGACCTCTTTTGACCAACTTCGTGACCTGGGGGTGCTGACCTGACCTTGACCTGAGGTCAACACCCCAAGTTGACCTGACCCGGACAAAAAGTATATCATTCGACGCGCCTGAGCGAGGCGAACACGATGCTGCCAAAATTGCGGCTCTGCGGCCGTTTTTTGCGAAGTTATTCACCAAAAACTGAACCGTACCTTGTGGCACTTGACCTGACCTCAGAGGTCACCGGTTGACCTAGGACCTTAAAATCGGGTACCAATCTCTGCGTCTCGTAACGGCGCACACGCTCGTTTTTTCCGCGACGCGCTAGCTCCATCAGGGGCGAAACGGCGAGGGGGGTCGTACCCGCCCCCCCCCCCCTCGGCCGGCGCGTATGTAGAAAACCAATAGGTCCGGCGAGGGTTAAGTAGTGAAACTAAATCCTGTGCCATCTTTTCTTGAGCAATTCCTTGCCTGGTCCACAATGAGTGAGGAACAGAGGATGTTGTCTGCGAAGGGCAGGGAGCTGCGGACCACTGAGAAAGTAGATGCTGCCAGGCTGCTCAGAAGTCAAAGCTGTACAAGCAGTTATTGAAGAAGCTGAGATCACGTGGCAGCTTACTGTTGGAGTCTGTTGAGCAGGAAGAAAAGCCACAAGTGATCAGGAAGGACTTTGATGTCTGGAAGCGTGATTATGTTGATTTTGTGCAAACATATGAAGTGATATGCTCCCTGATGGAGGGTGAAGAGAGAGAAAACCTGGATTATGACAAGAACCTCACTGAAGTGAATGAGCTGAAAGGCAAGGTGGAGGCTCACCTGTCTTCAGTCTCAGCAGATGATGCTACTCCTGCAAGATCTGACGCTGGTGGATCGCGTTCAAGCAAATCATGTGCCGGCAGTGAAGTAAAGGCACAGGTTGTGCTCATGAAGCTCAAGATGCAGCAGGACAGAGCAGAGCTGGAAGCAAGAGCTGCAATGAGTAGAAGAAGGCTGCATCTGAAGCAAAAACAAGAACAGCTGCTGCTGGAGCAAGAACAACTGGATATAGAAACAGAAAGGAACATAAATGAAGCCAAGCTGAGGGTGGTTGACCAGTTTGATGTTGACAGGGAGGAGGGAGCAAGTCAAGACCCAAGTGATGAAGTTGGACCTGGTGCAAAGGAGGAGAATACTGAAGTGGTCACTGGAACTGGAGCAATACCAAGAAATGATGTCTCCATTGATGCTGCAGTCCAAGTGAAGGATAATGTCCAAGGCACAGGAAGAAACGACAAGACAGCCAATGGTCGAGTGGAGGATGATGAACCCAGCACTCAAGCAGCACTACACAGACTGGCAGATCTGCTTACTGAGCGACACAATGGTAGTAGGCTTCCCGTGCTGGAACCAGGCACCTTCAGTGGCAACATTGAGGAGTTTCCAATGTAAGTCTTTTGAAACCTATATTGAACATCAGACATCCTCTCCCATCGAACGCCTTCACTTTCTAGGAAAGTACACAGCGGGTGAAGCCAAGACAGCCATCCTGGGCCTGCTCCACCTGAGGACAGATGAGGCTTACTCGCAGGCGAAGGCGAGACTGAATGACAGGTTCGGAAACGACTTCATCATATCCAACACGTATCGCATGAAGTTGAGGAGCTGGCCCGCAATCAAAAATGAAGATGGTCGTGCTCACAGAGACTATGCTGATTTCCTCGAGCACTGCCAAGCGGCAGCTGCGGGTCCTCTTCGCCACCTAGGAATCCTGGATGACTACCTGGAAATTCAGATGATGGTGAAGAAGCTGCCCAAGTACCTGGTGGACAGATGGAAGAGGGAGGTGGACAAGTGGCTCTACGATGAAAAGGGCGTTGCTCAAAGGAGACATCCACCATTCTCAGAGTTTGTCCGTTTTGTCGGCATCGAAGCCAGGATTGCTTGCGGACCAGTGGATGTACCCAAGTGTGAAGAAACGCGGCAAGCCCCACAGAAGACACAGAGTAAGGCCAGGACTTTCTTGTCCACAACGGGTGTGAAGAGGGCCAATGGAGGAACTCAAGTGGACACAAGGAAGCCTTCAACATGCGAACTGTGTCAACACCAGCACAAGATCAGCGACTGCGACACCTTCAAAAGGATGACTGGAACTGAACGGAACAGCAAGGTCAACGAGCTGGGACTGTGTCGAGGCTGCTTAACCCGGCACCGCCTGGGCTATTTCCGTACCCACGACAGCCTGGGGGGGGGGGGTCGGATCCGACCCCCCCCCTGTTATCTCGAGAACCAATGGTCGTATCGAGCCCCGCGAGGCGGCGTTCGAAAGGTCTCTACGAGACCTTCCCAAAGCACTCTTAAGATTTTAAGATTGAGGTCAACTTTCGGGTCAAGGTCAGGTCAAAGGTCAAATTCAGGGGTTTTGCATGATTAGGCTTACGGACAGCGGAATCGATAGCTGCTGCTCGAAACTCACCACAAATGACCTCAAAGACCTAGTGAAGGTACCATGTGCGTATAGGGGTCATACTAAAAACGGGTCAAGGTTTGGTCAGGTCACGAAAGGTCACGGTTTTCACTTTCTGCTACATGGGCGTGCGACACATGTTTTATGGCTTATTTTTCACGCCAAATCCGATGGTAATGGTTATATGTGACCCCAAGTCACTGTGCTGGTGATAAGTGTGCATTGAAAGCATAAAAAATCGTTTATACCATACATAACTAAACGAGGGCTAAGAAAAAAAGTCAATTTTTCAACTTTTTATTTTTGACATAAAAATGCACTTTTCTAGACGAGCTTTGCCCCAGGAATCTAGTGGTGCCATTTGTTTTCACATGCGATGTTCAGAAGTGCCTCTAATTCGCGAAAATGCTTATGACGTCACCATGCCCTATGCATGTTGGAGCTATTTTTTACAATTTGGGGGTCAAAAATCAAGATAGAAAGTTGAAACTTGGGACATCTAATGTTCTAATAGAGCTCTATAACATATATTCCGGTTTTTTGGAAATTCTCAAAATTTTGGATTTTATTAGCTGTTTTCCAAAAAATATAGTTTTTTGAATATTTAGGGGTCAAAAACGCATTTTATGGAAAATCCGAGATAGCCATTTTAAAGAACTCGTTGAGCTGCGTCTTTTCATATCCTTAATTTGCAATTTGCTTGAAACCTCGATTTTTGGCGATTTTTTAAACATTTACCATTTTTTGACTGAAAACGCCATGTAGTTACATCACTAAAATCGATACATCTAAAAAATTTTCGAAAATTTTTTCTTAAAATTTGCACAGGAGACGTCAAATTGATGGGGGAGAAGGTATGCCAAGATTCAAGTTGATAGCGCAAGCGGTTCATGAGTTATTCAAGAAAAACGGAGGGGGGGGTCGGATCCGACCCCCCCCAGGCGGTCGCGGGTTAACCCTCGCCCTGGCAGGGCATTTTTCATAACACGGCCTGGCAGGGGGGGGGGGTCGATGCGACCCCCCCCCCTCGCGATTGGCTCCTATGGCACCTAGAAACACCAAATTTGGTAGGTAGGTGGGCCCCCTGGAGTTCTCGCCCCTGTGCAAATTTGGTTGCTCTAGGTCAATATTTAGGGGGGTTTTGGGGGGTATAAATGTAAAAATTTCGCTAAAAACAGGTCAAAAGTTTTTCGCTTATAACTTTTGATCTAATTAAGATAGAGAAAAAAAAGCACCAGTGAACTCAGCACATCAAGGCGCGTCGAATGATATACTTTTTAGCTTGCTTAAGTGTACTTAAAGTTTTTCTTAAATTTTAACCCTATTAGTGGCAGGGGGGGGGGTTGTTTTTATCCACCCCTCAGGTTTTTCGGGAATATCTCCGAAACCGCTGAAGCTACGATGCTGAAATTTTCTGACTTTTCCTAAAACTAAATTGGGCACATTCCCTGAAAATTTCAAGTTCATAACTTTACCAGGGGCGGCTCCAGAGCACTGGGAATTGGGGGGTCCTATTCGTGAAGCGAGTCATTTGGGCGAAGATCACGATGCTGCACCAGTTTTACGAACAGTGAATGAAAGGTATCATGTGATAACATATACAAAGTTATTGTGCATCCTCTTTTGACACGTTTTTGCTATAATAGGCGGATCCAGGCGTCCAAAAAGGGGGGTTATTTTTTTCCTCCCAACATAGGTGCCCTGACACCGCCTATGCATGACCAATACAATTTTAGTCGTTCTCTCATAAGAAAATTGTAACATAACAAGACCATTGCCACCCTTTTTAGAAACAGTACCAACAAAAACCTTATTTACTTTACTTTTTGTGTACCCCCAATCTCAATGATCTGTATCCGCCTATGATTTTTGAAAATGCATATTTTTAGGATCCATGTGAATTCCTGGTTCATTCTCTATCGATCGGCAAAAGTTGCGTTAAGATTGGTTCAGAAACCTGGCCGTGATAAACAGTCTAAAATGTATCTGCAATTTGCCCTTTTTTACCTCCCTCTACCCCCCTATTGACGTTTTTTAATTTTATTTTTTTTTAGAAATGTAGATCTCGTTGAGCCAAATCGAATGCCGTTTGAATTTTGAAAATCGGCCCGTTAGATCTCGAGATATCAAGGGGGGGTCGTAAACAGCCCCCCCTGCCACTAATATGGGGTAGCCAGGAGCCTGCCACTAATAGGGTTAAGTAAACTTAAATTAATAAATTAAGTTCAAGTTAACCAAATTGCATCATATCGCATATCATTCGATTCGGCTGATCACCAGGAACACAATGATACCATTTTTTAAGCTCTAGCGTCATTATGTGCCAAGTTATTGGCAACAACGTCATTTGACCTCAGTTGACCTCATTTGACCTGACCCATGGATAAGTACACCAAACAAAGAAGCACCAAGTGACCTGCTGTTAAGTACCGTGGTTTCAAAGCACAAAAGTGATAGAACGAAGCGGATATCTCCAGTATTTTCCGAATTTAGTATTTTCCCATAGGCTTAACATTACGACGTAATGACCTCTAACTGACCTCAGGTCAGTGACCTCAAAACAGCCGGAATATATGTTATACAACTCGGTGAACTTAGCACATCCTGAAAGTTTGAAAGAAATCAGTCGAAAACTGTGAGTTGGACAGGTGCAAAAAGAAAATTGAAATTTGACCATGACCTTGTACCGGTTTTTCTGACCTGGTGACCTGACCCAAGGTCACTCGGACCTGAAATTGTCAGGTCATATGTAAAAAGATTGCCCCATAGGCTGTGCCAAATTTGGCGGCGCTGCGCGCCGCCGTTTTTACGCTATCTTCGAAAAACCTTAGGGGGGGGTCGCATCGACCCCCCCTGCCAGGGCGAGGGTTAAGAAGAGGACACAGGTGGAGGGAATGCCGCTCAAGATGCAAGTGTGATGAATGTGGCAGGTGGCACCCTACGATTCTGCATGATGAGTCACTTCTCAAGAAAGGTGAGGTTCAGCCTGAAGGCCAACGGAGGACGTCCCACGCGGCACCGCAGGCGACTTCATTCTGCTCGGGCTCTGTGTCAGATGCTGAAGGAGGAGGCTGCTGTCACTCACTGGTGGTGCCAGTGCTACTGAGTCATGTTGACAACCCGGAACACAGCGTGCTGGTGTATGCTGTACTGGACGCTCAGTCTGATGCCTGTTTTGCTTCAGAGCCTGTTTGTGAAGCCCTGAAAGTCGACGGAAGAGCCACGAAACTGGAGCTGAGCACTATGACGGGGAAGTCGGTCATCAACAGCCGAGCGGTACAGGGTCTGGTGATCCAGCCCCTGACAGCAGATGAAGCCATCAGACTGCCATCAACCTACACTCGTCCTGAAATCCCATGCTCCAAGAAGGTCGTTCCTAAAAGGGAGACAGCCATGAAGTGGAAGCATCTGGAGAGAGTAGCCAGTAAAATGCCGGAGTTCTTCCCTGGCGCACCAGTGGCTCTGCTTTTGGGGACCAACTGTTCACGCGCCATCAAGCCACTGGACGTGGTTTCTGGTAAGGACGACGAGCCCTGGGCGATCCGAACCCACCTGGGGTGGGGCATCGTTGGCTGTCTCGGTGGGAGCAACGACCCGGACACGACGTGTCATCTGGTGGACACTAGCGATGGTCACCCCAAACGTTGTCATTTCGCCTTCAGATCGCAGGTGCGCGAGGTGAGCCCACTGGAGGTGCTGAAGGTGCTCGAATCCGACTTCCAGGAGACTGGCCGAGAGGATAAGACAGCTTTATCGATCCAGGATCGACAGTTTGTGAAGAAGATGAGTGAGGGACTCGAGCACCGCGAGGATGGCCATTTTCAGATGCCGCTGCCACTGAAGAATAACAAAGTGTCCATGCCAAACAACAAGACAGTCGCCATGCAAAGACTCAAAGGACTGAAGGCGAAGCTGGTGAGAAACGAGGCCTACAGACACGACTACACCGGCTTCATGGCGGCGACGTTAGAGAAGGGCTACGCAGAGAAAGTCCCCAGTGAAGAACTGGAGCTGGATGATGGCAGGGTTTGGTACATTCCGCATCACGGGGTGTACCACCCACAAAAGAACAAGCTTCGAATCGTATTTGACTGCAGTGCAGAGTTTCGGGGTCACGTGCTAAACAGCCACCTCTTACAGGGACCGGACCTCACAAACAGCCTCACCGGAATCCTGTGCCGTTTCCGTAAGGAGCCTGTGGCGGTTTTCTGCGACTTGGAGGCGATGTTCAACCAAGTGGGAGTCGACGTCAGGGATCGCAACTTGCTCAGGTTCCTGTGGTGGGAGGATGGCGACTTGAAAAGAGACCCAACTGAGTATCGGATGAAGACTCACCTATTCGGTGCCACCTCGTCACCCGCGTGTGCAATGTTTGCACTCAGAGCTGCTGCTGATTGTCAGCGAGGTGACACTGAAAGAGAGGCCGCCGACTTTATGAAAGGTGATTTCTATATTGACGACGGTCTCATCTCTGTACCAGACGCCGAGACAGCCGTCAAACTGATTGACACGACCAGAAAGCTCTGCGCACGTGGAGGCTTCACTGTTCACAAGATCCTCTCGAACAGCATTGATGTCGTGAAGTCGGTGCCGATGGAGAGTCGCTGCGATGGACTTCGGAGTCTAGATGTCGGTTCCGGTGATCTTCCCGTTGAGCGGACTCTGGGAATCGACTGGGACACGGACACCGACACGTTATCCATCCACGTCACGCCGAGAGTCAGAGAAGTGACCAGAAGAGGAATACTATCAGTAGTAAGTTCGTTTTTTGACCCACTGGGCCTGGTGTCTCCTTTCATCTTGAGAGGGAAATTGCTACTGAGGGAGCTGTGTCGTGAGGGCTGCGGATGGGACGATCCCGTGCCCATCGATGTGGCTGACGCATGGAAGGAGTGGATGGAGAGTATGTTGGCTCTGAAGATCGTGAGTGTTCCACGATGCTATGTGGAAGGTGGGCTGCAGGACAAGATGACTGTAGAGCTGCATCATTTCTCCGACGCCAGCGCTGTGGGCTACGGGCAGTGCAGTTACGTGAGGACGGTTGACCGAAATGGACTGGTCAACTGTTCACTGATCATCAGCAAGGCTCGTGTGGCACCAACCAAGCCGGTTACGGTGCCAAGGCTCGAGTTGACCGCTGCCGTACTCTCTGTGAGGATGAGCAAGTTCCTCCAGGACGAACTGAAGCTGCAGCACCTACAAGAGTTCTACTGGACAGACAGTAAGGTGGTGTTAGGCTACATTTCGAACGAAGCGAGACGTTTTCACGTTTATGTCGCGAATCGAGTTCAGGAAATTCGCAACCATACTGAGCCAAGTCAGTGGAGGCACGTGACAAGTGAGGAGAATCCAGCCGATCTTGCCTCCCGAGGCATCAGAGCCGAGGAACTGGTGGACAGTGCCTTGTGGTGGCACGGACCTGCCTTCCTGTCCCGTGCGGTCCTGCCGGAGGGCGAGGGACCACGGGAGGTTGGAGACGAAGATCCTGAGGTGAAGTCACGCTCTGCTTTCAGCTTCGCCACAGCAGTGCGGGAGGAGTTCGCTGGAATTCCGAAGAGGCTCGAGTACTTCTCTAGCTGGTGGCGAGCCAAGCGAGCAGTAGCGACGTGCGTCCTGTACGTGAGGAAACTTCACCACCTCGTGATGATGAAGAGGAGTGCCGTGCAGTCACGAGATGTTCCGAAAACGCAAGTCGGAGTAGAAGAACTGGAAGAAGCAGAGAGGATCATTCTGACAGCATTGCAGCGACAGGAGCTGCCAGGTGAAGTCGACCGCGCTGGACGATCGGGACAGGCAAGGACGGTGGGAGCCGGCCGGCGGACCGCCACGGTTCCCAAAGAGTTGTCTCGTCTCGATCCAGTTGTGCGAGACGGGTTGATCTGTGTTGGTGGGAGGCTTCGCAGGAGCGGTTTTCCAGAGAGTGAGGTGCACCCTGTTATCATCCCCGACCGAAGCCATGTGACGTATCTGATCGTCAAGGAGTGCCATGAGAAAGTCGGACATGCTGGGCGAGGTCTCACTCTCGCTCGACTGAGGTCATCTGGCTACTGGGTTGTCGGAGGGAGACGATCGGTGGCACGCCTGATTCTGAAGTGTGTCAACTGCAAGAAGCTCCAAGGCCACGTTCTGAATCAGAAGATGGCCGACCTGCCGCATGACAGACTGGAACCTGCGGCGCCTTTCACCTATTCAGGCGTGGACTTGTTTGGTCCATTCCTGGTACAGGAGCGACGGAGTGAAGTGAAAAGGTGGGGCGTTCTCTTCACGTGCATGTCGTCTCGGGCAGTGCATATCGAGACGGCAAACTCACTGTCGACGGACTCTTTTCTTAACGCCTACAGACGGTTTGTGAGCCGAAGAGGCCCGGTGAGGGTGCTGCGAAGTGACAGAGGCACAAACTTCGTGGGCGGGAAGAGAGCCTTAGAGCAGGCTTTGGACGAGATGGACGACGACAGGATACGCAGAGAGCTGGTGAAGGAGAACTGCGACTGGGTCATCTTTCGGATGAATGTCCCAACAGCCAGCCACGCAGGAGGCGTCTGGGAGCGCATGATTCGCTCCGCTCGGGCTGTCTTGGGCGGTCTCGTTCAGGAATGTCACGGGGCTCGGCTGGATGACGAGCTCCTGCGAACGCTGCTGTGCGAGGTGGAAGCTATCTGATGCGGCCTCAGCCACCACCGTCAATCAAACTCAAACTACTGGATGCATTGGGATAGGGCACATGTATTGGGATCCAGTAATGTGGGGTAATGACAGAGAACCTTGGGTTGGTAACACCACAGTCACCGTAAAAACCTGTCAATCACACACATGAGAAAATGGGTTAAAATAATGCTCTCTCAGCAATAAAGCGCACACATTCACACTCACATACACACTTCGCGTTAAATGTGACACATGAAAATGTGGCGAACGTTCAGTCGAAACTTTGGTAAACGCATGATAAATAATCGAAACCAGTACGCTTGTACTTTGTAACAGAATGATAGCGCGAAAAAATTATTAACACATGGTGAAGCCAAATCGCGACGAACGATACAACGGAAATGACTAGAGAAAAATAGAAACGTACTCTTTCCAGGTACCTCGAGTGACAACAGTGTGCTGTCTCCACAGTCACTCCTTCCAGTCGCTCAATGCGCAACAAAGAAACAAACAAATAGCCGCCCAGCTCAATTAGCACTCATTCAATGGCTGGCGAACCTGCAAATGAGGAGAAACCAAAGTCAGATACAACTGCTACGCAGTTACATGGCTCCCCAAATTTGTGGATCACAAATTTCCTGCAATCCTCTCATCCACGAAATCAAAAAACAATCTTCTGTAGCAGCATCACCTGGTGGTAACACAAGAAAGATACACCATCTGACGTGGTCGGCGGTTGCCACCGCGGGGCAACGGCACTCAGCAACGCGGACGATTCACACGGAAACGTACGAACGGATGTACCCTGCTACCTCGGATACACCATTCAGCACCGAGTCGAAACCGCAGACTTATAACGCCTCGATCGCGAACGGCGCGCACTCGTCCAAACGTGACGTCCGGGATATCGAATCGCGCGCGCGCGCGTCACTGAGCGTCGGTAGCGTTCACTTTCACACCTGCGCGTCTCTCACGCGCATCGATCACTGGGCCTCGTGGCTCCCCGTCTGGGAATCTTCCCGGTCGTGCAGCAGGAGAATCAGGCGATTCACCGGCCGGTCGTAGTCACTGGAACCGATTCGCACGCACACTTTGCGGATCAGTCCATCGGCGCTCGGGTACACACACACGATGCGGCCGAGCGGCCACCGTGAGCGCGGCTCGTCGTCGTCGACGACGGCCACGACGTCTCCGGGCTGCAGGTTACGGCGACGTTGCACCCACTTGTGGCGTTCCTGCAGGGTCGGCAGGAACTCACGCCTCCATCGTCGCCAGAACTGGTCCGCCAGAAACTGGACACGCCTCCAGCGCTGACGCACGTACAGGTCGGTCTGGGAGAAGCTACCGGGATAAGGCACGGCTACTCTACTCTTTAGTGTTAGTATCTGGTTCGGGCTCAGGGGGAGGAGAGTATCGTCCGGCGCTCCGCTGAAGTACGAGATCGGACGGCTGTTGACGATCGCTTCACACTCTGTCAGCAACGTCCGGAACAGCTCGTCGTCCAGTGTGTGGCCATGAGCCATGATCAGCGGAATCAGCGCCGACCTCACGCTCCTGATCATACGCTCCCAAGCCCCTCCCATGGAACTTGCCATCGGAACGTTGAACCGGAACTCGAACCAGTCGCAGTCCTTCTTGAGCAGCTCTCCTCTGATCTTGACATGATCCTCCTCCTTCAGCGCCCCCTCCAGCATGTTCTTACCTCCCACGAAATTCGTCCCATTGTCACAGAACAGCTTGCGAATGGGTCCTCTCCGACAAGCAAACCGCCTGACAGCGTTCAGGAAAGAGTCGGCAGAGAGTGAGTTGACCGATTCTAGATGGATGGAGCGGGACGCCAGACAGCTGAAGAGTATTCCCCAGCGCTTGACCTCACTTCTTTTCTCTTTCACGTAGAAAGGCCCGAAACAGTCGACTGCACAGTGGCTGAAGGGTTCGGCTGGCTCCGTTCTCTCCGGTGGCAGGTCGGCCATCTTCTGTGTCAGCGGACTTCCGCGGAGTCTCTTGCACTTGACGCAGTCGAAGATGTAACTGCTCACTGCGGAACGGCCACCAATCACCCAATACCCAGAGGCGCGGAGCTCGTTCAGCGTCGAGCCGCGACCGCCATGACACGTCCTTTCGTGACACTCTCGCACGATGAGTTCCGTCACGTGGCTCTTCCTCGGAAGTATCACTGGATGGACCTCTTCCTTCGGCAGAGTGCTGTTCTTCATTCGTCCTCCGACGCAGATTAGCCCGTCAGCTCGGAGGAAGGGATCCAGCTTGTACAGCGGGCTACTGCGCTTCACAGTCCGACACCTTCTGTCACTCTTTCTTCTGCGTTTCTTGGTTCCCTCTCCCAGGTCTGCATGTTCTTCGTCGTCTCTGTTCTCTTGCTGCGTCCTCAGCACTGTGAGTTCTTCTTCGAAGGCGCTCTTCTGGACTGACTTCAAAATCACTTGCTCAGCTTGAAGCAGCTCATCCACTGTCATTCTCTCGACTGGGGTGTAGACTCTTGCGCCGGCCACACTTCTGTTCGAGCTTGCTTTACTTGCCAGGATGGCCGTGTAGCGTCGGCACGAAGCCACAGCTTTCTTCGCCCTGTGCCAGCTCGAGAAGTAGCTCAGGCGCTTCACGAGTGTGTTGTCTTCATTTCCCTGTAGTCGGTCGCGTCCTCGCACGGGTCCTGCCGGTGGTCGCTCATCGCGCTGATCGTCTGATTCGGCAACGTCTTGTCGATCTTCTTCTGTGTCGCCGCCCTGGTCTCTCTGTCGCCCGTCGGTTGGAAGCTTCTTCTCGTCTTCTGGTGGCTTCGAGATGGCGGCTTGGAAGGAAGCTCGCTTCACTTCAGGGTCGTCGCTCTGTACGTTGAACTCTTCTTCCATGGCTGGGAGTTCAATGCTCACTGTTAGTAGGGATGGGCCATGCCACCACAGACTGCTGGTCAGCAGCTCACTGGCGCTTGCTCCCCGGGACGCAAGATCCGCTGGGTTACTCTTCGAATCGATGTAGCGCCACTGTGACGGTTCCGAGAGCTGCCTGATGTCTTCGACCCTGTTGGCGACGAAGACGTGGAACCTCTTCGTCTCGTTCCGTATGTAGCCGAGCACGGCACGGCTGTCAGTCCAGTAGTACTCCCGGTAGTCGCCAATCGCCAGCTCGTTCCTGAGGAAAGAGCTCACCTTCGCCGACATCAGGGCGCCCACCAGCTCCAGTCGTGGGATCGTCACGGCTCTGACAGGCGTGACTCTGGCCTTTGACATTATCAACATGCTGGTGATCTTGTCGTTCTTGTAGATGGTCCTGAGGTACGAGCACTGCCCACATCCATCGTAGCTCGCGTCCGAGAAGTGGTGGACCTCATATCTCTCAACTTCACCGAGTTCCGTCGTGACGTAGCAGCGTGGGATCTTCAGTGTGGACAGGCGCTCTATGTCTTCTTTCCAGAGACGCCACTCTCGCTCCATGTCCTCCGGAATCAAGTCGTCCCAGCTGTACTTGTCCACGCACAACCGTTTCAGGATGTTCTTGGCCGCAAGAATGCACGGAGAGATGAGCCCGAGAGGATCGTAGATCGTACTCACGGATGACAATATGCCCCTTCTGGTTGCCGGCTTGCAGGGCAGGGTCACGTCGATGCAGAGCGTGTCGTCATCCATGTCCCAGTTCAGTCCCAGGACGCGTTCACGCGGGAGAGGCAGCTCCTCGTCCAGCGCAGCTTGACAGCTCTTGGACAAGCTGTACACAGGTAGTGCCTTCAAGACGTCCCTGTCGTTCGAGGTAAACTTGTGGAGTTTGAAACCCCCCTTCAGGCAGAGACCAGCCGCGTCTTGTATCAGTTGCACCGCCTCTTCCGTAGTCTTCGTTGAAGCCACTCCATCGTCGATGTAGAAGTTCCGCTCCACAAAGGACGCGGCCTCGGGCGAGAACTCCTCTCCGTACGTGGCGGCCGTCTTCTTCAGAGCAAACAAAGCGACCGCTGGAGAACTGGTGGCTCCGAAGAGGTGAGTGCACATGCGGTACTCTCGAGGCTGTTCGTTGAGGTCTCCGTTGTCCCACCAGAGAAACCGGAGAAGGTCACGATGCTCTGGGTTGACGCGCACTTGGTGGAACATGCCCTCGATGTCGCCACTGAATGCCACGGGGGCCTCTCTGAACCGCACCAAGATGCCAGTGAGGTCGTTGTTGACGTCTGGGCCCTGGAGGAGGTGGCTATTCAGGCAGTCGTTCTTGCACATCGCGCTGCAGTCAAACACGACTCTCAACTTGCCCTACTTCTCGTGGTAGACTCCGTGATGTGGCACATAGTTGATCATGCCCGTTTCCATCTGTCCGTCGTCCGGAACCGGCTCAGCGTATCCCTTCAAGAGAAGATCGCTCATGAAAGCTGTGTACTCGTCGCGCAGCTTCTCGTCTCGAAGGAGCCTCCTCTTGAGCTGAGACAGTCTGGCGTCCGCGAGATCCCTGTTGTCTGGCATTGTCTTCTCGTCCTTCATCGGAAGAGGCGCTTCGTAGTGGCCTCCTTCCACTTGGTGCATGCCGCTGGTCATCATCTTGATGAACTGCTGATCTTCTTGCGACACTGTCTTCTCTTGTCTCTGGTCGAAGAAGCCGCTGTCGAAGACCTGTTGGACCTGCCGTAGGCTGACATCCTTCACTCGAGTCCGGTATGCGAAGTGGCACATCTTCTTTCCCTGACCTGTGCCGACGTAGAAGCATCCCGTCGGCTCACCCTCGCTGACACATCCCACGATGCCCCATCCGAGAAGCGTACGCACGGCCCACGGATCGTCCTCTTCGCCGGGAATAACTTCTCTGGGCTTGATGATGCGCGGACAGTTGACTCCCAGAAGGAGTCCTATCTCTGCGTCTGCGTGGTATTCCGGCATCTTCTCTGCCACCTGGCGAAGGTGCGGCCACTTGAGGCACGTTTCCCGTCGGGGTATCAGCTCTCGGTCTGCTGGGATCTCGTGACGTGAGTAGAGCGTAGGGAGGTCCACTGCCGGTCCCCCTTCCGAGCTCTCCACAACCAGTCCGGACGCCGACGAGCACCTGACGATTTTGCGCCCGTTCAATGTGCTTAGCTGAAGCTCCACTTCTGTACTCTCTGGCTGGAGGACGTCGCAGAGGGCCTCCGTCACGAAACTTGCGTCCGATTGCGGGTCCAGCAGAGCGTAGGTGATGATGGGCTGCTCCGGTTGATTTTCGTGATACAGCTTCACGGGAACTATCATAGTGTGGCAATTGGACACTCCGACATCCTCGGTGCTCTGAGCGGTAGATCGCAGCGAAGATGCCTTCACCTGTGTGTCGCCGCCATGCTGCTTGCCGCTACTTGTCTTGTCGTGACTGCCTGCGTTCGCTGTCGTCTTCATGAGCTTGTCATCGTGCAGCAGCGTTGGGTGCGACATCTGGCACTTGTCGCACTTATCTCTTCTTCGACAGTCACGCCAAATGTGTCCTGGCTTCAGGCACCCTCTGCATAGCCTCTTCTTCATGACCTCTTCTTTGCGCTCGTCAAGGCGCAAGGCCATGAACTTCTTGCATGTGTGCACGTCGTGGGGTTCGGTACAGATGACGCACGGGCGGCGTACTGCTCGTGCGGTCGTGACTTGCTGGGTGGCCCGTTGCTCCTCGCTTTGGTGCCCACACGCTTCACACTTCTCGTGACTTGATGTGAACGCATGCGCCTTGCCACGGATGTTCCTTGCAGGTGGGCTCTCTTCAGACTGCGCGCCGCTGCTCACCGGACCACAGGCGATACGCCCCTCCGTAGAGACGAGCTGAACGAAGTCAGCGAAGCTTGGGTAGTGCGGCGTCGGTCCGTAGACGCTGGAGTCGACGAGGCGCTTCCACCTGTCCGCGATATAGACAGGGAGCTTCTTCAGTACCATCTGGATCGTGTGCGGATCATCCAGCGCTCTCATACCTGGGATGGCCGAAGACGCCATGTGACAGTGCTCCAAGAAGTCTGCCAATCGTTGGAGTCCTTTACTGTCCCCGGACTTCACTGCCGACCACTCCCTCAGGCGCTTCAGGTAGCTGCTGGCGATGAGGAAGTCGTTCCCATATCGAGCGACGAGCTTCTCCTTGGCCTTCACGTAGGCGTCACTTGTCCTCAGGTGCAGGAATCCGGCGATGGCGCTGTGAGCATCTCCTTCCGTATATCTGCTGAGGAAGTGCAGGCGCTCCACTGGACATGACGTTCGGTGCTCGACGTACGTCTCGAAGGCCTTCAACCAGAGCGGGAACTTGTCGATGCTCCCCGAGAACACGCCTGGTTCGATGAGCGGGAGGTGGCTCTGCTTGTTCTGGTCCTTCAGGACGCTCACCAAGCTGGAGAGAACGTCGGCCGCAGTCGAAGGGCTCGGATCGTTGGATGTCTCAGACTCCTTGCACGCCTTTGCTTGCTCGGGCACAGCTATCTTGCTTGAGGCTTCTTGTTTTTCAAGCTTGCTCTTCGGTACGGGAAGCTCTGATGCACGCATCGCGTCTTCTTCTTCTTTGCTCCTCTGGATGGGAATCCCGGGTGCGCACATTCCTTCCTCCTCTTCAAACTTCAGGAGAGCCCCTTGCTTCGCCTTCAGGATCTCACGCTCAGTATCCAGCTCCAGTTCCTGCATCTTCCACTGCAGCTCTTGTTTCTGACGCTCCATTTGCAGTCGCTTCTTTGCGGCAGCTGCTCTGGCTTCTAGCTCCGCTCTTCTCTGGGCGTCTTCAAGTCGCAGAAGGCTGATCTTCGATCGGACAGAACACCTTGATGATGCGACTGATGGCTGAACTTCTTGTGTTTTGTGAGTAGGCTCCAGTTTCTTTTCCATCTCGGCCTTCATTGCGTTGAGTTCAGGCATCACATCTTGGTGTCTTGACAGGTGTTGCTGCAAATCAACTTCAGAGAGAAGACCTTGCAGCTCACTGGAAGTCTGGACCAGATCGATATATGTTCTCTTCCACTGGATGTATGCTTCTTTGAGCGTCTCATTCTCCTCTTCACCTGCCACTTCCAGCCTCTTGATGATATCGACACCCTTCTTCAACTCCTTCAGATCCTTCTGGTACTTCTTTTGCTTGATGTCGATCTGGAACTGTCTCCCTTCTTCAGTCAGCGTTACTTGTCTTCCACGTTGTGAGGTGAGACCTGGACGTCCACGCGCTTCACTGATGCTGTCTTCCTCCATGTTCAGTTCCTTGTTGGTTGACTCGTTAATGGGGGACAGCTACAGCTCTAACTACTGAGGTAATTGAGGAAAAATAATAATGAGAAGCATAATTCTGACTCTGCGGGTCGTGGTTAGTTTGTTAGTAGTATGGTCACTGACGGAAGGAAGAGTTTTTACTGATGCGGCCTCAGCCACCACCGTCAATCAAACTCAAACTACTGGATGCATTGGGATAGGGCACATGTATTGGGATCCAGTAATGTGGGGTAATGACAGAGAACCTTGGGTTGGTAACACCACAGTCACCGTAAAAACCTGTCAATCACACACATGAGAAAATGGGTTAAAATAATGCTCTCTCAGCAATAAAGCGCACACATTCACACTCACATACACACTTCGCGTTAAATGTGACACATGAAAATGTGGCGAACGTTCAGTCGAAACTTTGGTAAACGCATGATAAATAATCGAAACCAGTACGCTTGTACTTTGTAACAGAATGATAGCGCGAAAAAATTATTAACACATGGTGAAGCCAAATCGCGACGAACGATACAACGGAAATGACTAGAGAAAAATAGAAACGTACTCTTTCCAGGTACCTCGAGTGACAACAGTGTGCTGTCTCCACAGTCACTCCTTCCAGTCGCTCAATGCGCAACAAAGAAACAAACAAATAGCCGCCCAGCTCAATTAGCACTCATTCAATGGCTGGCGAACCTGCAAATGAGGAGAAACCAAAGTCAGATACAACTGCTACGCAGTTACACTATCGTTAATAGCAGGCCCCTCACATCCTTCAACATGACTCCCGATGAACCCCACCCAATCTCACCCATGACTCTACTAACACAGAAATGTAATGTAGTGCTTTCGCCGCCTGGTGCCTTTCAGAGGACTGACGTCTACTGCCGTCGTCGCTGGCGACGCGTCCAGTACCTGGCAAACCGGTTCTGGCAACGATGGCGCTCCGAGTTCCTCCCGAGTCTCCAGGAAAGGAGGAAATGGGCGACAGCGCACGAGAACATCGAACTAGACAGCGTCGTGCTCGTTGTCGACGACAACTCTCCCCGCTGCAAATGGATGCTGGGGCGCGTCACGCGGCTTCATCCGTCCGACGACGGATTCGTCCGGCGGGTCGCCGTACGCACGAAAGACGGAACATATGATCGACCGATACAGAAGCTGGTGCGGCTCCTCCCGTAGGCGCCGACTTCGGTGGCGCTCGGCGGAGCTGGGCCGCGCGCTGCTGGTGGCTCCGGCTGCGCTCTGCGGGGCCGGGCCGCGCGCTGGTGGTGGCTTCGGCGGTGCTTGAGCAGAGTTGGCGGCTGCAGCCATCGACGGCGCTCAGTGGGGGCTGAACTGTGCGCAGCTGTCAGGCTGAACTGTGTAGCTGCTGCGTAGCCTGGACTGCTGCGTAGCCTAGACTACTGCTGCGACCCTGAGCGTTGCGCGTGGGGCTGTCTGTGGCTCTGCCAGTGACGACAGTGGCTCAGACATTGAAGGTTTAACTGAGACATACAGTCATGCAGTGCCTCAGAGCGTGCGGCATAAACAGTTAACAGCCACCGACAGTGTGGTGGTTGTTAGTGCCTTGTGAACTGAGGAGAGTGGCACGTCAGCCGACGAGTGAGCTGACTAGTATGTGTTGGCGCTACGTATCGTGAGCGGCTGCCGAGTGACGCTTAGTGATGGACGACGGGCAACTCCCGTGACGTAAGATGATTTCAGTTTGCCACCATCTTTACCGTCGTCGGTCGTGTGGCGCAGGATGGTTGCAATCCGCGGTCGTGTTGCGCAAATGTGGACTGTCTTGTTGTAGAATCGTGACCGATTGGTGGGAGTGTCACCGCCGCCCAGAGGTCATTGGGCAGCGATGTTTTCTTTTCCCCAATTTGCCGTCTCCAATTAATAGATCCTTGAACAGGGCGTGGCACGCGGTGAAGCGTGGCCATTGACACACGATTGTGATACATATGGGACGTCAGATCCCACAAAAGTAACCGCAGGTTGTTTGAAAAGACAAACACTATTCGTTAGAATTGTGTTTTTCTATTGAAAAACAACCGGAGCAGTCGTTCACCGGGCTATGCTTTCCATACTTGGCCGCGGATTGGGGCAAGTTGATACCAGCCCAAACTACTGCAACGATTTTCGTAAAAATTTCAGGGTATAGACTTTCGAAGGCGATCTAGCTGATGGCACCGGTCGCTACTCGCTCAGAATTCTTTTGCGCGTGGCGCGTGCGTTTGAATTTTCGCCCATGTTAAGTCAATGGGGGTTTGGGACACTTTTTGCGCGATAGCGAATGACGGAAAAACGAGCCAAGGAAGGGGTGGTTTTCTTCCCAGCATTTTATGGAAAACACGTTCCGGTACACGAAAGTGTGCGCCGTATACCCGCCAGAATCTCGGATCACCTCTTTGCACAAGGTCAAAGTTGGAATTTTGCTGTGTCCCATGTTAAGTGAATGGACAATTTTGCAGAGATATTTTCATTCGCGCATTGTACAAAATTGTGTGTCACGATTTCGTCCAAACCTTCAAACGTTGTTGACAAGAGAACATAGTATACGCTGTTATGCTTCGTTAAGCTGTGCAACATCGTTTTTTCTTTAAAAGCTTTTTTAAAAATGACAGTTTGTAACATGGAAAGTCAATGGGAGCGTCTTTGTTGCTTAATAACTTTTTACGTTGCAGATATACCGGGTGGCCCAAAAAAAACGTTCCGAACTTTGGAGGCCTATATCTCAAATTCGAGTGCAAATAACGAGCCAAAATTTTCATCAAGTTTGCGTCACTTCTTTGCGCATTGGTATGCCAAATTATAACACTGTACCATCATTTTGAAGCCAGCAATCTTATGTTGAATTAAGTAAGACGTTTTTGCTTTTTTTGCCGTTGTTGAACGGTAGTAATGATTGGCTTAGACGTATAGTAAGAAAAAAAAAAAATAGAACACGTGAATGATACCAGCTCGTATGTTGTTATTTTAAATATTGTTGTCCCACTTATGTGCCAAATATTCAAATGCTAAGCCAAAATTGTGTTAATGGATGTCATTCGGTTCAACACAAATCCTGTTTCGAAGAGAGGGAGTGGCACGGTGCATGGGTTACTGCTGATCGCCCTCCCTTCAAGAAGATCAAATAGTAAATCGACCCAATAAGGAAAAAAAAAGCTAGAGGCAATGTGTCACCCTGAGGCCTGAGCCATCAATGAGACTAGTTGCCAGTAGCAGTCATGGCTGCAGGCCGTGGTGCCGAGATGGAAGTGGCCCGTTCACTCACATTTTTAGTAAACATCTGAGCAAAAAAGTGATTTTTACATGGCATGCTAGAAACACGAAGCGTTTAAAAAGTAATTTACCGAATAACATAAAAATCATACCATTTGCAGGAAATATATGCCGCATTAACTATTAGAAGTTTCAATGCTGTATCTTTATCACTTTCTGAGAAATAATAATTTAAAATTGGGAACGTTTTTTCTGGGCCACCCGGTATAAAAGTGAAAAGTTAATAGAATATACAACTTTCGATGCTCTTTCTAACGATGTATAGACCGTCACTGCACGATGTGCCGTTTTTAAGAAAAGTTGTAAAAAAGCAGGGCTCGACTGTGACTTGAACCCAACCACATTAGAGTATACGAACAGGTGACGGGGATACCTCCCGTGTGCGGACGCGACACTGATGAATATTAGCAGTCGGCCGTCGTGGGGGCGCCTTTGCAAAGCTTATATCTACACAACTGCTTGACCGATTCACTCGCGTTCTTTTGTGTGGGATAGCTTCTTCCTTTCTTACACGTAGTGTGCTATTCTCGATGCGTATGGGTGACCCCTAATGCACGTGCCACGTGCAAAACGAAGAGGTGTCAGTTTGGTAACAAGACTAATTACTCTGTAGCTAGTTTGCCGATTGCGCTGATACTCGGCATGGATGTAGGCAACCGCCGGGCAATGCATTTCCATGTGTCACGGTTGGGGTGCAGCTGCACGTGCGCGCGGGCAGGGTGACGATTCCAGATCTCGAGAACGGCTGGGACGATTGTGATCAAAGTTGGCACACCGTTAGGGATCGGCGAGTAGGGTGCCGTGCGCAACTCAGATGGGACCCATTTGGCACGTGCGCACGTGCAGGCTGACGCTTCCAGATCTCAAGAACGGCTGGGCCGACTGTGCTCAAATTTGGCATACCGCTAGAGACTGGTTAGTAGGGTGCCGTGCACAAGTCAGTTAGTATGTATTTTCATGTGCCACGGTTGGGGTGTAGCTGCACGTGCGCACGTGTAGGGGTCGCTTCCATGGATCTTGGAAACAGTTGGGCCGATTCAGATTAAATTCGGTACACCGCTAGAGACCGGCGAATAGAATGCCGTGCACAACACAATTGGGACCCAGGTTGCACGTGCGCACGTGCAGGGTGTCGCTTCCAGATCTCGAAAACGGCCGGGTCGATTGCACTCAAATTTGGCACACCGCTAGAGACCGGTTAGTAGAGTGCAGTGCACGTCAGTTCGTAGCACACCCACTCCGGTCTGCACGTGCAAGGCTCATCCTCTCGTTTTATGGCGAGCGTTTTTGCGGCGTTATGTAGGGGTCGCTTCCATGGATCTTAGAAACAGTTGGGCCGATTCAGATTAAATTCGGTACACCGCTAGAGACCGGCGAATAGAATGCCGTGCACAACACAATTGGGACCCAGGTTGCACGTGCGCACGTGCAGGGTGTCGCTTCCAGATCTCGATAACGGCCGGGTCGATTGCACTCAAATTTGGCACACCGCTAGAGACCGGTTAGTAGAGTGCAGTGCACGTCAGTTCGTAGCACACCCACTCCGGTCTGCACGTGCAAGGCTCATCCTCTCGTTTTAACCGCAGGTTGTTTGAAAAGACAAACACTATTCGTTAGAATTGTGTTTTTCTATTGAAAAACAACCGGAGCGGTCGTTCTCCGGGCTATGTTTTGCAAGTCTGGCAGCGAATTGGGGCAACTTGATTGGGGCCTAGACGAAATGTACAATTTTCGTAAAAAGTTCAGGGTATGGGCTCCCGCAGGCGATCTACCTTATGGCACCGGTCGCTACTCGCTAAGAAGTCTTTTGCGCGTGGCACGTGCGATTCCATTTTCCCCATGTTAAGTCAACGGGGTTTTGGACACTTTTTGCGCGATGGCGAATGGCGGGAAAACGAGCCAAGGAAGAGGTGGTTTTCTTCCGAGCATTTCATGGCAAACACGTTCCGGTACACGCCAGTGTGCGCTGTATACCCCTCAGAATCTCGGAACGTGTCTTTGCACGAGGTCAAAGTTGGAATTTTGCTGTGTCCCATGTTAACCCGCGCCCGGCTGGGGGTCCTGGATTTCCACGCCCTGCTGGGGGGGGGGTGTTTGAACACCCCCCCTTCTAACTCGGCTCCTAGGCCACGTAGCGATACGCGGAAGGCGGCGTTCCAAAGAGCGCCAAAAATAATGAGGAAATCACTTCAGTCAATTTTTTGGTCAGGTCAAAGGTCAGGTCACCAGAGGTCATTGAAGGCAAAATTTCGCCGATTTCCAGGTCGAATGTCAACAATTTCCAAGAAGCCAACGCATAACTCGGGAACCAATAGAGCTACAGCGCCGCGGAAAAGCGCATTCGATAGCCCTATTAACGCCCTTTCTGAGTAATTTTCTCAGATTTGACCTAACGTCAACGGTTTTGCCTGCAGGGGGCAAAAACTGCAAAAATAGCCGATTTTTTCGGAAACAGTTTTACTGCAATAA